TGTTCAATGTTGCTCTGCCTCTGCATCTACCCCTGTTCATCAGTCTATACTGGTCCCCATTATCTGTCCCAACCTCACTGGAGCAGTCCCAACCTGACCAGGGCCGTCCCGACCTCACTGGGGCCGTTTCAACCTCACCGGGGCCATCCCGACCTCACCAGGGCCGTCCCGGCCTCACCGGGGCCGTTTCAACCTCACCGGGGCCGTTTTCACCTCGTCGGGGCCGTCTCTACCTCGTCGGGGCCGTCTCTACCTCGCCGGGGCCGTCTCTACCTCACCGGGGCCGTTTCAACCTCACCGGGGCCGTTTCAACCTCACTGGGGCCGTTTCAACCTCACCAGGGCCGTCCTGACCTCACCGGGGCCGTTTCAACTTCACCGGGGCCATCCCTACCTCACTGGGGCAGTTTCAACCTCACTGGGGCCGTCCCAACCTCACCTGGGCCATTTCAACCTCACCGGGGCCATCTCTACCTCACCGGGGCCGTTTCAACCTCACCGGGGCAGTCCCGACCTCACTGGGGCCGTTTCAACCTCACCAGGGCCGTCCTGACCTCACCGGGGCCGTTTCAACTTCACCGGGGCCATCCCTACCTCACTGGGGCAGTTTCAACCTCACTGGGGCCGTCCCAACCTCACCTGGGCCATTTCAACCTCACCGGGGCCATCTCTACCTCACCGGGGCCGTTTCAACCTCACCGGGGCAGTCCCGACCTCACTGGGGCCGTTTCAACCTCACCAGGGCCGTCCTGACCTCACCGGGGCCGTTTCAACTTCACCGGGGCCATCCCTACCTCACTGGGGCAGTTTCAACCTCACTGGGGCCGTCCCAACCTCACCTGGGCCATTTCAACCTCACCGGGGCCGTAGTTTCGATGTTGTGTGAGGCAGCACGCACAGGTCTCTTCCTTATGCCGCCATCTTGGTTCTCCTGGGTCTGCTTCTTGAGTGTGTCTCCCATGGCTGCGAGCAGTTGAAGTTCGCAATTGTTGGGTTAGGCTGCAAAAGCGCAGGTGGTGCCTCATGATCCCGCCTGAACCAGCTCAGTGGATTTGAGAGTTTGCAGAAGCACAGGCATTTCCTCTTGTGTCTCCAGCACAGCCCAGATGGGAATGTAAATTGGGTAGGGCGGGGTCTCAGGGAGTCACCAGGGCGGAGTCTCAGTGGCCCCTCGCCTATCCTGGACACCGGGACTTTGCGTCCCCCAGTGCCAGAGAGCAGCTGCGTGCCAGAGCCTCCCTCGCTTTCTGATGGCTGGAAGGCCGTGCCGTCTCTCCCCGTGGGGCCTGGGGACTCAGAGACCCGCCCGAACCAGCTTAATGGATTTGAGAGTTTGTAAAAGCACAGGCATTTCTTCTTGTGCCACCGGCACAGCTTGGATGGGGATGTAAATTGAGTAGGGCGG